TAAGTTGGTACTTTGACCAGGAAGTTTTTACCAAGTGATAGTGTTATATTTCTAATGGAACATTTCCCTGAATTAAAAACAGGTTTGGCTGGGCATGGTGGCTCATGCCTGTAATCCCAGCACTTTGGGAGGCCGAGGCGGATGGATCACCTGAGGTCCAGAGTTTGAGACCAGCCTGGTCAACATGGTGAAATGCCATCTGTACTAAAAATACAAAAAATTAGCTGGGCATGGTGGCACCTGTAATCCCAGCTGCTCAGGAGTCTGAGGCAGGAGAATTGCTTGAACCCAGGAGGCGGAGGTTGCAGTGAGCTGATTATGCCACTGCATTCCAGCTTAGGCAATAAGAGTGAAACTCCATCTCAAATAATAATAATAAAATAAAAAATAAACACGCAAATATTAAGGCAGCCGACAGAAAAGGGAAAACAACATGTAAGGCTTACAGCCCTTTTGTGTCTTTGATCATAGACGGGAGGAGCTGTTGCTGACGCAGAGTTAAGGGTTAACATTTAAAACAGACTGGTTGCCTCCTGATTTCTTGCACATAAAGCCATGAGAAGTTCAGGGAAAGACTTCTTCCCCTAGTAATGAAGCTCTCTGCTGCTAATGGCCCATGCAGACTCCCTTGGCTCCTCCAAATTAGAAATACTTTTGTGCTCCTTTGCTTCATTAACAGTAAAGAGAGGGAGATTGGTGGCTATTTAGGACATGGGGAAATTGGTGGCTATTTAGGGCAAGTGAAAATTGTAGTAATTATGGTTGGTAAGTTCTCTTTGTGGTGTTTTTTGACTCTTGATGTTCTTTTGGTACTTTTCAGAAGAGCCCACCATGGTCAATTCTGGCATTTGGTCTAGGAGGACAGGAGATGATCTGACTGAATTTTTGGCTCCTGGTATTGGACAGTACAAGGCATCTTGCCTGATGAAATACAGGTCTTTTGCATTTTGATTTGCTTTTCAGAATAGATAGCATATCTGAGTGCTTACCATATGACCCTTTCTACTACCAGCTGTGTTAAAAGTGTTGTGTATATGATAACCTCCTTCTCTACCTGTATCACACTATAGAAAGCTGGTGCTGCACATAAGTGCCTACAAAATTGCATCCCTAATAAGCCTTAGTTGAGAATCAAGGCTCTGAGAGAGTACATGAAAAAGAAATAAGAAAGGATAATTTAGGCCTGTAATCTCAGCACTTTGGGAGGTGAAGGCAGGTGGATCACCTGAGGTCAGGAGTTCGAGACCAGCCTGGCTCACATGGTGATACCCTGTGTCTACTAAAAATACAAAAATTAGCCAGGTGTGGTGGCGTGCTTCTGTAGTCCCATCTACTTAGGAGGCTGAAGCAGAAAAATCACTTGAACCTGGAAGGTGGAGGTTGCAGTGAGCCAAGATCGTGCCACTGCACTCTAGCCTGGGTGACAGAGTGAGACTCTGTCTCAAAAAACAAAGGTAATTTAGAACCACAGTGTGCTGTGGTATATCTCTGGTTGGCCAAAGAGTTTGCTTCAGATAATTGGATTCTGACTAGAAGGAAAGGAACATCAAAAGGAAGGTACAATGTTTCCAAAGACAAACAAAACCAAATGAATGCTACCAGTTAGCAGTTTGACACTATTTGAAGAGGGGCCATATTTGTTTGGGCCTTCAGAAACCAGAGAGGTGATCTGAAAAATGCTCCCTTCAATAATTGAAATTGTAATCTATAGAAATGGAGTCAGGGAAAATAACATCTTAAAAATTAGTCTATAAATGTGGTATTAATTGAAATTTCAGGAATAATTAAGTCTAGTCAAGGTGACCAGGGAAATTCTTGGGATCACATTGCTGGAATTAACAGTATTTCTGGAAATTTCTACCCAATTGTTTGTATCATCACATATTGAGGTTTTTTTTTTTTTAATGATCAAAGTGATGTGCATGAGAAGATAGGTGAGGCAGGAGGAATTAAATGTGAACAGACGGATGCATTTGAATGGAATGCTTCTTCTGGTTTATAGTTAAGATAAAACTAGTTTAAAAAGTGGTTTAATTGAGAGCACTTGACTAGGATAGAAGAAACATGAGTTTTCAAGGAAATCATATCATTTTCCTAGACCAGAGACCATTATTAGTGCGTATTGCTTATATGTGCCCAGGAGAGATTTTCTGGCCACTGACAGTGTTTGTCCTCTTGGCAAATATCCTACTGATATGGGGTTGATTGTATCAAGCTCTAATAACTTAGGATCCCCCAGCTGCTAATTTCTTTTGAAAATAAGTTTGCAAGAAATCTCTTGACCTTCATGTGGTTTTCTAGGTAGACTTCCAAGTTGGGGAGAAATGTTACTGCACAACCAGTTGGAGTGTTCTGGAGCATAAACACCTGTTTATTCATTCAGAAAATATTTGGTTTACTCTCACTATATTAAAGGCACTTTTATTTTTTATTATAAATCATTAACCCAAAATTCTGATTTATCAATTAATCTCTCGTGGATTTAGGTCTTGTGATTCATTTTTCCAAGCCCGTATATCTCAGTAAAAGCTGGAAGGACATACTTTTGGAACCTGAAACTCTTAGAATCATTCTCTGGACTCCAGGAAATTTAGATATTTCTAATGTGTTTTATTTACTGACCACAGTACTTACTGTAGCCAATTTTGATATTTCTTAAGTTCTAGCTTACCTCTTCTTATCATATTTGTTTTACATTTACATCCCTGAAGCTTATTTTTATTTGCTAAATAGTTGGGCCAAATTGTTACTGGACAATATCCTGGGACTATGGGACTCATAGTTTCCATCAGGGGAAGAGAGAGCCATTTGACTGAGGGCAAATGGCTGGAAATTTTAAGAAAGGCAATTTAACATTCTAAAGCTTTTCTAAAGATTAAAATTTAAAACTAAATTCCAGAAATAGAATGTTTTCTATTTGAAGATGTGAACACTGCGTAACTGAAAGAGGGGAGGGATAAGATGTCTCGGTGGAAATCCCTGCATTGGATTGGAAGTTAGAACAGATGATCTTTGTGTTCATTCTGATTCTAAGAATATAGGTTGAGAATTGTCCATTAGTTCCCATTTAAATCCTGAAGGGGTGGGGTAGGGAGGGATGGATAACAAACCTAAGTATCTAAAACACAAAGAAATGAAGAAATTTTCCCCTCCTCCGAGATTTGTAAAGGTTCTGTTAATGCTGCATAGGGAAATCTGAAAAAAGAGTAGTTCTTTCATTCCCAAATGCCCTGAGCATTTTTCATCCCTTTCATTTCATTAATTAACGAATGAAACAAATACATTTAATCTTGCAAGAAATATGTGTCAAGTGCTACATTGTCAGGCTCAGTGATCTGTACCATGGAAGGGTTTTGGGTATGTTTTTAAATGACTGAATATCCTGAATAAATCTCTAGACATTCAAATAAGTAGTGCAGAATGGTAAATCTAGCATATTTGAGGTTCTTTCTTATAAGATATTTAAGTAGATATTGTTGGCCTTGGTGAGTACTTTGTGTAGATTACCTTTATATTTCATAGTACCTATATGAGATCTATTCTATTGTTGCCTCCATTTTAAAAAGAAATGAATCTAAATGTTAAAAAGGGTCGGAAATTTGCCTAGGTTTATACATCTACTGGGTGCTGATCTAGATTTCAGTTGATACCCATTTGGTTCCAGTGTCCAGACGTGCAACACTAAAAAAAAAAAGAAAAGTTCCTTTTTGTAATATTCCACTGGCTTATAAATTGGCTTTAGATATGCTCATGCCCCATCTCTCTGTGAAAACCCAATGTCCTCGTTTGTCTCATTTCCCTTACTTTGAGAATTTAATTATCTGCCTGCAGCAAAATGCCACAGTCAAATATTTTCATGAAAACTAAACCAAAGGAGGAAGAACAGTCATAATGTGTATTGATTTTTTTTTCTGGCTTTTGCTTTATTTCTTTAGGTCTACTTTGACTATCTTTTAGGGTCTAATCATTGGCTAAATCTATGTTTTAATGAAGTCTTAAGAATCATTTTCTGGGATGGCTATATAGAATAAGTTGGGTAACTGGATTCACAAATTTCTAGTTCTGATAACTCACATATTGCTTTTGCTCTACACTACCTCAGTTTCCTCATTTGGTAAAATGCGGTTCTTCTAGAACACTTTACTTTAGAAAATGTCACTGGCTGCTTTTGGAAGATCTCATCTATTCATTTTTCATTCATATAACAAACATGATTTGGGTGCCATTGTGTGCTGGGCTCTGTGCCAGGGCAGAGGATACCAATAAGAAAGGGGAAAACACCTCTAACTTATGGATCTTATAGTCTATGTTTTTAAAAAAGCAAAGCCAAGAACACATAGGTACTGTAGTAGCAGTGACCACTAGGCATTACACAAGCCCACAAAAGATGAGCAGGTGTCCTCATTATTCTAGAGAAGTCTGCTGAAGCCACTCCTGCAGGGCATTTGGAGCTGGCCTGCTGAGAGTCTCAGCACCTAGGTGCGTCAGGGACCCAGGTCTCTCAATTGTTCCTTATGTGAATATCCAATTACCAGTAATAATGTTTTCTGCTGCGATAAATCTGGTCCAAGGCAAAATTCTGGCAATAAACATTTCTTTGTTAAAATTATAGTATATAGTCCTGGCTCACACAAATTCATTAATGTGACATTTATTAGTAGCAGAGGTGGCAGTTAGCCAAGATCACGCCATTGCACTTCAGCATGGGCAACAAAAACAAAACTCTGTCTCAAAAAAAAAAACATATTTGAGAGTCACTACCTCCAGTTCACCAGGCCATTGTGATAGGCAAATGATCCAATGGAAACTTCCCACTGGGTTGTTTTTACTCACACAGTGACTGCTAAAACCTTCCTAGACATACAACTAAAGAGGGCCTAAGACATATATGGAGAAAATAGAAAGATGATTTGCAATTGACAGAAGAGGAATGCATTGGATTCAGAATGAGCAAATAATCATGCAACTCATTTTTTTTTTTCCTTTTAAAATCACTCTAGAGCAAATACTCCTGAGGTTTCTTGTGATTTAACCATGACTGACAGCAGAAATAAAACAACTACTGTCAATTATGTACGTGATACATTGTCTAACCCTTATGGCTGGATGGCCCTGCTCTTGGACCAAGAGACCTACTCATTGCATTTCGAGGACCTGTGGATCAACAGATCTCTGCAGGTAACCCAATTCATTAGTTGATATGTCCCATTCTCATGGGTTCTTATCTTTCTTTGTTTGAGATTGAAAACAAATGGGTTGAAAGAGGAGCAGTTTATCTCATCATTGAAAGTCTTGGCGTATTCTAACGCTGATAAAGAAAACTGCAGTAGCATTTTGACCAGATGAATACAAGTTAAATATGAGATTTGGTTTCTGTTTTAACTTGAAAATTTTAGAATCTATTTACGTGTTATTGTGAATGTAGAATGGTTCTGCCTAAAAATTTGAACTTGTTAATACAATGAGAAACAACCTCTACAGATCTTATAGAATTGCATTTCTTTAAAAATTATTGGTTAATAGCCAATTTACCCTAGAGAGGTGTTTGTAGCCAGAGAAAATGCCTTACCGAAGCATTTCTACATTGCATACTGCCACCTTGTGGTCAAATATTAACTTGCAAATAGAAGTCTGAGTCCCCAGGCTGGATTGGGTTAAGGGAGACAAATAACAGCAGTGAAGATAGAAATGGCCATGTGGTAACATGGCCTACTAGAAGCAGAGATGGTCGAAGGCTCCCATTGGAAATAAATAAATAAATGAAAACATAGTAAGCATATGAAGCCTTCATTGGCAACCAAGGTATCCAGGTTCACTCATCAAAATTGACTAGAAGGCTGGTGTGAACCACAGAGAGAAGGAAGAGCTGTGTGGGAAGGGGAACCCCATTCTCCAGCCATGGAAGGCAGTAAGTGAGTGCACTACCCAGCCGTGAAAACTGCTTTTTCCACGGAATTGTGCAACCCACGGATAGGAAGATCCCACTCGTGAACCCACATCACCAGGGCCTGGTGTCCTAAGCCCAGAACACGCAGATTCTTACAGCCTCTCAGCTGGAATCTACTTAAACTTACCAAACTTCCAGGGGGAGGGGCGACCAGAATTGGCTTCTGCTGCCTGCTGTCTAAGCCATTTGAGCTCCTTGGAGGAGAGGCAGCAACCAGCACTGGGACCTATAACTGCCTAACACGCTAAGCTCCCTGGGTGGGGGAAGGGTGACACCCATTTCTATAGCTCTAGGCTGCACTTTTCCCCAGCTGGAGCCAGGGAGGCTGGACGGCTTTCTCCCAGTCTTGTCCCCACAGCCCAGCACACCGGCTATGGCAGTCTGCAGCCAGAGTGCCTCTTCAGGCCTAACTCTGAACCATCCTTCCTCAGTGGGCAGGGCTTCCCCACAGGATCTCTGATAGCTCCAGCCAGAGGCTCAGGGACAGAATTCAGATCTCCCTGGGCATGAGCCCCTAGGGGGAGGGGGTAGTCTCTGTGGACCTGCAGACTTAGGACTCTACTCCTGGTAGTTCCGAGGAATCCAGGCAGCCCAGACAAGTGGATTGCCCCCGGTGAAACACACCCTCTCAACCCCAGGACAAAGTGCTTAATTAAATGAGTCCTGCTCCTTATGCCAGAGAACTGGGTGAACCCTCCAACAGGGTTGTCAGACACTCTAGAGAGGAGTAATTCTGCTGCCATCAGGTTGGTGCCCCTTGAGGTCAGAGATCCCTGAAGAAGTAACAGGCACCCATCTTTGCTACTCACCAGCCTCCTTGAGTGACATCTCCAGGCACAGGAGCGAATCAGATGAATATGGCCTGAAGTGAATCCCTAGCAAACGGCAGCAACCCTATGGAAAAGGGACCTGAAAGAAAAACAAACAAGCAGAAAGTGACAACAGCATCATCAGCATCATCATCAACAACAACAGCAACAAAAAGGCCTCCACAAAAACCCCATCCAAGGATCAGCAGCCCCAAAGACCAAAACTAGACAAACTCAGAAAGATGAGAAAGAATCAATGAAAAAATGCGGAAAACCAAAAAGACCAGAGTGTCTCTTCTCTAAATGATCACAGCGTTTCTCCGTCAAGGGCACAGAACTGGATGGAGGATAAGATGGATGAATTGACAGAAGTAGGCTTCAGAAGATGGGTAATAAAAAACTATGATGAACTAAAGGAGCATGTTCTAACCCAATCCAAAGAAGTGAAGAATCTTGAAAATGGTTAGAGGAATTGTTAATTAGAATATCTAGTTTAGAGAGGAACATAAACAATCTGATGGAGCCAAAAAACACAGCACAAGAATTTTGTGAAGCATATACAAGTATCAATAGCTGAATTAACCAAGTGGAAGAAAGGATATCAGAGTTTGAAGATCACCTCACTGAAATAAGACATGCAGATAAGAATAGGGAAAAAAAGAATGAAAAGGAATGAACAAGGCCTCCAAGAAACTTGGGACTTCATAAAAAGACTGAACCTATGATTGATTGGAGTACCAGAAGGAGACAGGAAAAATGGAAAAAAACTGGAAAAAAACACTTCAGGATGTTATCTAGGAGAACTTCCCCAACCTAGCAAGACAGGCCAACATGCAAATTCAGGAAATACAGAGCACACCATTAAGAGACTCCGTGAGAAGTTCAACCCCAAGACACATAATCATCAGATTCTCCAAGGTCAAAATGAAGAAAACACTGTTAAAGTCAGCCAGAGAGAAAGGCCAGCTCACTTAAAAAGGGAAGCCCATCAGACTAACAGCAGACTTCTCAGCAGAAACTCTACAAGCCAGTGGAAATTGGGGGCCAATATTCAACATTTTTAAAGAAAAGACTTTTCAACCCAGAATTTCATATCCAGCCAAACTAAGCTTCATAAGTGAAGGAGAAATAAAATTCTTTCCAGATAAGCAGATGCTGAGGAATTTCATTACCACCAGGCCTGCCCTACAAGAGCTCCTGAAAGAAGCACTAAATATGGAAAGAAAAAACTGGTACCAGCCACTACAAAAACACACCAAAGTATAAAGACCAATGACACTATGAAGAAACTGCATCAACTCGTGTGGAAAACAAACAAATAGCATCATGATGACAGGATCAAGTTCACATAACAATACTGACCTTAAGTTTAAATGGACTAAATGCCCCAATTAAAAGACACAGACTGGTAAATTGGATAAGTAGTCAAGAACCCATCGGTGTGCTGTATTCAGGAGGCCCATCTTATATGCAAAGACACACACAGGCTGAAAATAAAGTGATGGAAGAAAACTTACCAAGCAAATGGAAAGAAAAAAATAAACAGGGGTTGCAATCCTAGTCTCTGATAAAACAGACTTTAAACCAACAAAGATAAAAAAAGACAAAGAAAGGCATTACATAATGGTGAAGGGAACAATTCAACAAGAAGAACTAGCTATTCTAAATATACATGCACCCAATACAAGAGCACCCAAGTTCATAAAACAAGTTCTTAGATACCTACAAAGAGACTTAGACTCCCACAGAATAATAGTGGAAGACTTTAACACCCCAATGTCAGTATTAGATCAACAAGACAGAAAATTAACAAAGATATTCAGGACTTAAACTCAGCTCTGGATCAAGTGGACCTAGTAGACCTCTACAGAACTCTCTACTCCAAATCAACAGAACGTATATTCTTCTGTGGCAGTTATTCCAAAATCTACCACATAATTGGAAGTAAAACATTCCTCAGCAAATGCAGAATAACTTAAATCATAACAAACAGTCTCTCAGACCACAGTGCAATCAAATTAGTACTCAGGATTAAGAAACTCACTCAAAACCACACAATATCATGGAAATCAAACAGCCTTCTCCGGAATGACTCCTGGACAAATAATGAAATTAAGATAGAAATAAAGAAGTATTTTGAAACTAAAGAGGACAAAGAGACAATGAATCAGAATCTCTGGGACACAGCTAAAGCAGTGTTAAGAGGGAAATTTATAGCACTAAATGCCCATATCAGAAAGCTAGAAAGATCGCAAATCAATACTCTAACATCACAATTAAGATCTAGAGAGGTGAGAGCAAACGAATCCAAAAGCTAGCTTTTAGATAATAAATAAGATCAGAGCAGAACTGAAGGAGATAGAGACACGAATCCCCCCCAGTCAATAAATCCAGGAGCTGTTTTTTTTTAAATTAACATAATAGATAGACTGCTAGCTAGACTAATAAAGGAGAGAATAGACACAATGAAAAGTGATAAAAGGGATATCATCACTGACCCTACAGAAATAAAAACTGCCACCAGAGAATACTGTAAACAGGTCTGTGCAAATAAACTAGAAAATCTAGAAGAAATGGATAACTTCCTGGACACAAACACTTTACTAATACCAAACCAAGAAGAAGCTGAATCCCTGAATAGACCAATAACAAGCTCTGAAATTGAGGCAGTAATTAATAGCTTACCAACCAGAAAAAGCTGAGGACTAGATGAATTCACAGCTGAATTCTACCAGCAGTACAAAGAGGAGCTGGTACCATTCCTTCTGAAACTATTTCAACCAATTGAAAAGGAGGGACTTCTCTCTAACTCATTTTATGAAGCCAGCATCATCCTGCTACCAAAACTGGGAAGAGACACAATAAAAAAAGAAAATTTCAGGCCAATATCCCTGACAAACATCAATGTGAAAATCCTCAATAAAATATTGGCAAACCAAATCCAGCAACATATCAAAAGACTTTTTCACAATGATCAAGTTGGCTTCATCCCTGGGATGCAAGGCTGGTTTAACATACACAAATCAATAAACATAATTCATCACATAAACAGAACCAAAGACAAAAACCGCTTGATTATCTCAATAGATTCAGAAAAGGCCTTTGATAAAATTCAACATCCCTTCATATTAAAAACTCTCAATAAACTAGGTATCAATGGAATAGCTCTCAAAATAATAAGAGCTATTTATGACAAACCCACAGCCAATATCTTATTGAATGGGCAAAAGCTAGAAGCATTCCCTTTGAAAACCAGTACGAGACAAGGATGCCCTCTCTCACCACTCCTATTCAACATAATATTAGAAGTTGTGTCTGGGTAGTAAGGAAAGAGAAGGAGATAAAGGATATTCAAATAAGAAGAGAGAAATTTGAGTTGTCTCTATTTGCAGATGACATGATTTTATATTTAGAAAACCCCATCGTCTCAGCTGAAAAACTTCTTGAACTGATAAGCAACTTCAGCAAAATCTCAGGATACAAAAGCAATGTGCAAAAACCACAAGCATTCCTTTACAACAACAACAGGCAAGTAGAGAGCCAAATCATGAATGAACTCCTATTCATAATCACTACAAGGAGAATAAAATACGTAGAAATATAGCTGACAAGCAATGTGAAGGACCTTTTCAAGGAGGACTACAAACCACTGCTCAGGGAAATAAGAGAGGACACAAACAAATGGAAAAATATTCCATGCTCTTGGATAGAAAGAATCAATATTGTGAAAATGGCCATACTGCCCAAAGTAATTTATAGATTCAATGCTATTCCCATCAAACTATCATTGACAGTCTTCACAGAATTAGAAATAAACTCTTAAATTTCACATGGAATCAAAGAAGATCCTGTATGGCCAAGACAATCCTAACAAAATAACAAAGCTGGAGGCATCATGCTACCTGATTTCAAACTATGCTACAAGGCTACAGTAACCAAAACAGTGTGGTACTGGTACCAAAACAGCCGTATAGACCAATGGAGCAGAACAGAGACTTCAGAAATAACACCACTCATCTACAACCATCTGATCTTTGACAAACCTGACAAAAGCAAGCAACAGGGAAAGGACCTTTTATTCAGTAAATGGTCCTGGGAAAACTGCCTAGCCATATGCATAAAACTGAAACTGGACCCCTTTCTTATACCTTACACAAAAACCAACTCCAGATGGATTAAAGACTTACATGTAAAACCCCAAACCATAAAAACTCTAGAAGAAAACCTAGGCAATACCATTCAGGACATGAGCATGGGCAAAGATTTCATGATGAAAATGCCAAAAGCAATTGCAACAAAAGTCAAAATTGACAAATGGGATCAAATTAAACTAATGAGCTTCTGCTTAGCAAAAACAAACAAACAAACAAAAAAACTATCATCAGAGTGAATAAGCAACCTACAAAATGGAAGAAAAATTTTGCTATCTACTCATCTGACAAAAGTCTAATATCCAGAATTTACAAGGAACTTAAACATATTTACAAGAAAAAGAAAATCCCATCAAAAAATGGGCAAAGGATATAAACAGTCACTTCTCAGAAGAAGACACATACATGTCCAACATATGAAAAAAAGTTCAACATAACTGATATAACTGATCATCAGAGAAATGCAAACCAAAACCACAATGAGATACCATCTCATGTTAGTCAGAATGGCAATTATTAAAAAGTCAGGAAACAATAGATTGTTGGCGAGGCTGTAGAGAAATAGGAATGCTTTTACACTGCTGGGGGGAATGTAAATTAATTGAACCATTGTGGAAGATAGTGTGGCGTTTACTTAAGGATCTAGTACCAGAAATACCATTTGACCCAGCAATCCCATTACTGGGTATATACCCAAAGGATTATAAATCATTATACTGTAAAGACACATGCACATGTATGTTTATTTCAGCACTATTTATGATAACAAAGACATGGAACCAACCCAAATGTGCATCAATGATAGACTGGATAAAGAAAATGTGGTACAGCTACATCATGGAATACTATGCAGTCATAAAAAGGAATGAGAGCATGTCCTTTGCAGAGACATGGATAAAGCTGGAAGCCATTATCCTCAGAAAACTAACACAGGAACAGAAAACCAAACAAATCATGTTCTCATTCATAAGAGGGAATTGAACATTGAGAACGCATAGACACAGAGGGGAACAACACACAACAGGGCCTGGTGGGGGATAGGAGGTGAGGGGAGGGAACTTAGAGGATGGGACAATAGGTGCAGCAAACCACCATGGTACACATGTACCTATGTAACAAACTTGCACGTTTTGCACACATATCCTGTTTTTTTTCTTTAGAAGAAATAAAAAAAATTAAAAGAAATGGCCACCTGGAAAGTGGGTACATTTTTCCATATTTTTAAACAGCAATCCAGTGGAATTCCCTAAGCTGCTTTTCATGCTTTTAACATATATATTTCTTCCTATCTCATCATACATATTCCCCCTAACAGCCATGAGAGTGTATCTTAGGGAGACAGCCGTGCCATGGTTATGAGGAATTCAGAACAGAATTGCTTTTGATCTTCTCACCATGCTTTCAGAAAGGATGCACACTTCTCTTTCCTTGCTTGAGATTCCTGTGAGAGCATTCTGGAGAATTTTCATGCAGTGAGAACAGTAGGATGTGCCTCTGGAGGTGGATACCCTAGGTTTATGTCCTGACACAGCACTCTTCTGCTTTGTGATATGGGGCAAGCTACTGAACCTCAGCTGTAAAATGAGACAGTAAGAGTAACAGTTGGGGTGGGGACTGTTTCAAGGACTGAATGACTGGAATGAGTAGTGCCTGATTGCATAGTAAATGCTGCAACATTGTTATCTATTATTGTGATAAATGGATGACAGGCCTATCACTGCCTGCCTCTTCAAGTCATGGGAAAAACTGGAAAGGCATTCTAGACCTGGCCTTGTCTCTTCTAGCTGTTTGACTTGAGGCAAGTCAGTTTACATGTCTTGGCCTTGGTTTTCTCCTCCGTTATTGAGATTGCGAAACAAGATGAACATTATGACATCTTTCAGTCTTCATAGTCTGATTTCGCCACTCTAGTTATGAATTTTTTACGACATAGATTTAAGTCGGCCCATTTCCCACAAGAAAAGTACAGTCTGGGTCTGACTGCATGATTTCTAAACTGCCCCATTTGCGTTCTCTGTGGTTGTTTTGACAGGGGGGTGTGGTGGAGTCGGTGGAATGGGGGGGTTCCTTAATAAATGAGCACTATTGCATTTTTCTTTCACTTCCAGTACTCAGCAACCTTTGACAACTTTGCTCCTGGTAATTACCTATGGCTGGTGCACACAGATTTGCCGCCCTACCCTGACATCCTCCTAAAATGTGGGAGTCGAGTGGGTCTGTCTCTTCCATTTCTTCCATCACCAGCTCAGAACCAAGGCTGTGACTGGTTCTTCAGTAGCCAGTTGAGGCAACTCACCTATCTGGGTAAGTATCCAATTGGATGAATGTTTTGGGAGCACATAGTCAGAAGTTGCCAATCACCCTTGAATTCCAGACATTTGTGCTGTGAGGTATTGAGGATCTGAGCTGTGTGTTACAGTTGAATGAGTGTGCTCTGAAGTCCGACTGCCTGGGTCTCAATCCCAGCTCCAACACTCACCAGCTGGCATACACAGAGTCTCTCTAAGTCTCAGCCTCCTCCTGTATAGAGAAGTATGACCATAGGGCCTACCTCAAAGGATAGGAAATTTAATAAAGAATAACATGTAAATGTCTTGAGCAGAGAGTCTAGCCCACAAAACATGCTTACTAGATATTGGTAGTTATTATTAATAATATCTTTAATTTATGTTAGGGCATGTCATACTGGTTTGTAGTGAAACAACTGCACATGTAACCTGGATGTTGTGCTTTAGTCCAGGAGTTTGACACCAGCCAGGGCAGCAAAGCAAAACCCCATCCCTACAAAAAACAAACAAACAAAAGCTAGGCATGGTGGCACATGCTTATGTCTCAGTTACTTAGGCAGCTGAGGTGGGAGGATAGCTTGACCCCAGGAGGTTGAGCCTGCAGTGATCCATGAGCATTCCATTGCAGTTCAGCCTGGGCAACAGACCGAGACCCCATCTCAAAAATAAAAAGAAAAAAATGCTTCACCGATTATGACTATTGATATGAGGAACAGTAGAGAGTGCAAGGTAGAGGGTGTCAATGCAGAGAGAGGCTGAATTGAGACTGAAGTTTATGTTGAAGGCAAGAAGAAAAACCTTTGATGAAAATCTGAGGTCAGGAAGGTGAGTAGTATGGAGGGCCGATATGAACACCAGGGGTGGACCATGTCTGTTTACGTCAAGATTAGCATGAGGATGAAGGAATCAGGAACCCTACCGTGACTGCAGAATCAGAGGTTAAAGGTTTTTCTTATCTTCTTACTGTGCATGTTTCACAGGATCCCAGTGTGAGAGTTAGGACTATCCACTTCATTTGATGTCCTGGAGTTTATTTCATGTTCCTTTTCTATACCATGTCAGCACTGGTCACTCTGAGCACCCTGGTACCTACTTGTTCCAATCTCAGCTCACTGTGAGGCCATTTCCTACAGTTGTGTGTAAAAAGGAGAATCTGGCTAAGTAGATCTTCAGAATGACAATTTTGTTATAAATTGCTCTTAGTAGATCCTGGTCAAATTCAGGGGATCTTATTAGCATAACAAGTTCTAGCCTCTGCCATGAATCCAAGGTGGCCATGGCTTTAGAAGGTGAGGCAATGGTCCTGAGTCCGTTCCTTGCCTCTCTCACTTGTGCCTAACCATAAGACAAGTGAGTCTGACCTACAGGCTAGCTCCAGAACTGTTAAATTTTAATAGCATCAGAGAGGAGAGTCTGCTGCTTCCTTGGTATTTTTTTTTTTAATGTCTTTGTCAAAAGGATTGTTGTATATTTTATTGGTACTGAATTGTACCATTCAAATTTTATTTCTGATTTGATGCATTCATAAATGTAACCTAAAACTATACAAGCTTAGAATGGACAGAGATTCCTGAGATTGTTTTACCACTTCAGCCAATACAGTCATAAATAAGAGTAAATAGTTGCCATTAGCTTTATGGCTATTCAATTGATATGTATTCTGGAACAAAATTTTAATTTCAATTGCTCTCTTTCCATTACTTAGCCTGCTTCCAAAGAGGCTGTCTTGTCCACAGGTCATATTCTGTTCATGAACCTCAAGATTATTTGAATACTCAAATAAGCTAAACATAATAAAAACCATTTATGATACAAAGAAAAAAATCAAATCATGACGCTATAGATTTTCTTCCCTTCTGATAACATTATTAATTGAATTAATAGCAAGTTAACGCTATTATATACACATATGGTGTAAGTGCACATCTGTGTAAATAGCTATGTACATGTTTGCTTATATGTACATGTACATCTGTATCTGTGCATATGTATGATGCAAATGAATGTCTTAATATAAAACACTTCTATTAGGTAAATAACATTTATTTTTTAAAAATTATTTGTATTGGAATATCCTAGTATCTCCTCCTTCGAATATGAGTTGGAAAAGAAATAAGAAGTCGCAGAAGATTTGTTGAATGTTTGATAAACTTGGAGAACTCTTGCTTCTTGAAGGGATTCCCAGCAGAAGCTTTTACGATCATTGGTGCCACCTTTATCCTCTGAGTTTACGGAGTAGATAGCTGACATGATCCACTTCTATTCTCATTTCTGGGCTGTCACAGTGACGGTATGAGGACTCAGGAGGAACTGAGGCTCACCCTGCTCCTCCATGGCAGTGCACCACATGGCTAATACCAGGTTGTGCAAATTTAGCTGTAATTTTGGGTATTATCTGTATAAAGTTTATAAGATCTATAGCAAGGTGGTGATTAGACTTCCACATTTTCCATGTATCTGCCTGCATTTCCCAGGGCCATAATGGTAGTTGCTGTTGCTGGTACCCAAGCAAGAGTACAAGGAGTAGAGTTGCAGTTCTGTGCCATGCGTTTTGCATATTGATTACATTGTTACTTTCACTTAACTGTCTTTTTCAGACCACTTTCCCTTACAGAACCATGATTTAGATAATTTACATAAAACACACAGTCTATGCAGATAGTGAAAGTTAAGACCACATAGTCTATGTGGGCATATTCCTGGGATGAAAAACATGAGAATGTGGTGTATACAGAAGTTTATTTTATTGTAGGGAAGCTGCTTGATCTCTTTCAGGGCCACAGAATTCCATACTAGATTTTTTGGGGTGTGTGTGGTTCCTTTTTTTGGCTGGCATTTCATTGAGAGTACTGCTTCACTGACAGTTGGCTGAATTTCATTCACTGGTTGACCACTTCTAAGTGGGCCATCTTTTGTATTGTTTTACCACATCCTCCAGGATAGGAAGTTCTAGAAAAATCACAATTATCTTCATTTCCTCTCTGGCTGCTGCATGCGTGATTTAAGATACCTGACTCATCTTAGACCCAGCTGAGAGTGGAAAAAACCTGAACCCAGGCATTCTAGCTCCTGGCTGTGGATCTGTCCACTAGAGTGTGCTGCCCACTAAATAATCTTGGATCACTGACCAGAAAGGATGGTGGGGGTGCTAGGCAGGGTTGTGGGAGAACACGTCTCATGGATCCCCAGTGACAAAGAAAAAAATCCTACACATACAATATGTTTTGACCCTTGCATTTTTCTTTTCTACCAAGGCAAGTTTTGTCTTTGTTCAGCAAACAGTTTCATGGAGTGCAGTTTTTTTGGAAAGCTCATGGCCAGAGCTTGGGGCTTAGGGTTTTAATCAGTGGCTGGCTGGTTATTTTACCTGGGGCATGGTGTTATAATTGCTCCATGCCTCAATGGCTTTATTTACACAGCAAGGTTAAGAATACTTACTTGTCTTTTGGAACTGTGGCACAAAACACCCAAACATATTCAAGGGTGGTTAGTATGCTATGTTACTTTGTAAACATTTTCCTGATAGATTCTTTCTCTAGAATTTTTCTTTCTTTATAGAAAATTAACAATATCATGTGTCATAAACTCAGTGTATATGTTATAACCTTTTTGAAAGGGTCTCCCTCTATTTTATTACATTTTTGTGAGACAACTAAGATTCACAATAATATGACATATATGATATATTGTTCCCGTGATTGAAATCTGATGCCACTTAAGCAATTGTTAGCCACAGAATAAGATAACCTCGCTTGTTTAAAAATACCTGTTAGGGAGATTAGTTCACGTTGCCTTTCTAAAGCCACTGAGAATTTTGCCCAAGGAGCTACTTACAAAACAGACCACAAGTAAAGTACTTATGTGCACTATCGTTTGTGTTAGGACCCCACAGGGGCAATATTCGATGTGATAAACCATTATGAATATGATGAACTATTATTGCGTGTCCCTACCGTAGCTTCTATGCCATGCTTGGGAATGGGTATGACTGTATAACAAGTGTTCTTTTATATTTGCAAAGTTGGGAGAAAAATCCAGCAAGCCCATTTTTCCCATCACGCGATTTGATGCACTGACTGCTCATGTCTCTGCCTTACAAAGCCAGTTTCCCACTGCCTCTTTCCCTGCTGTTTTTTTCCAAGGATGTTTCAGTTCATGGTGAACTATTTTTATTTTTTAGTTACATTAACGCTATGAAATAATTAGTCAGCTAATTAATCTGGTTTACAAGCTTTGTAGGATTCTTCAGCTGTCAGTCAGGCCCAGGCCTGAGGCCTACATCAAGTCTCAGCTCTCTTGCCCATGTGATTCCCGTTGCCATGGCTACTGGCTACATCTGCTGACACCCCACTCTCTATTTATTGCTTAATTAAGAATTTCACGCTTAGCCCTTATCTGCCGCTAAGAACAAGCGCACACTGTTAAGAAATTCCAAATTTAGGCCCAGGCACAAGGAAAGCCTTTCTTATGGGCTTGGCTGTATGGAGCCTCTCTAACGATCCTCTCGGCATCCCAGCCGCCACCCTTCAATCAAAAATCATTAAATGGGGCAGAGATAATGAGCATGTAGCATATCAAAAGAAGGATGTTTGCTTGGTCCAAAGGAGAAAAAGCTGCTCAGCCCCATGCTCAGCTCCACTTCAAAGGGAGATGAGACCTCTCAACACTGAGGCCTGATAATGCCTCATTTGTTCTTGGCTTGACTTATGCAAAAGGTCTGGTATGTCAGAGTCCAATCTCACAGACGTGGGTTTCCCCCACCTCTTGCCTCCACCTCCACCAGCCCCTTCCCTGGCCTTCCGCTTGCTCCTGTGTCAGCACTTAGGCAGCTGGGTCCCCCAAAACATCAGAGGGAGCGTATAATCACTGACTCTCCTCTCACAATGGCCACTTGTAGGGGGGTGGCCAGGAGGAGGTCTTCATCACAATAGGAACACAATTATTGCAGCTGCTAGGGAGGGCTATGCTTCTTCCTGTAGAAATAGAATAGGACTTGCCCGAAACAGGAGGAGAAGA